GAGGTTAGATAGGGAATTTGGAAAATCTTTTTGAGATGCTTAATGCAGCCCTGGAACAGTCTACTTGGAGAGGGAATCTCAGTCCTTGGAGTTGTTTCAGTACTTGATTACAACAAAGCTATGATTGACCTTGACAGGTTGGAGATATGGGCAGAGAAGAACCACCTGAAATTCAACAAGGGCAAGTGCAGGTCCTGCACCTGGGAAGGAATAAGCCCGAGCACCGATACAGGTTGGCACTGACCTGCTGGAGAGCAGCTCTGAGAGAAGGACCTGGGGGTCCTGATGGACAACAGGCTGTCCATGAGCCATCAGTCTGCCCTTGTGGCTAAGAAGGCAAATGGAATCCTGGAATGCATTAAGAAGAGTATTGCCAGCAGGTCAAAGCAGGGGATCCTGAAGGAATAAGCCCGAGCACCGATACAGGTTGGCACTGACCTGCTGGAGAGCAGCTCTGAGAGAAGGACCTGGGGGTCCTGATGGACAACAGGCTGTCCATGAGCCATCAGTCTGCCCTTGTGGCTAAGAAGGCAAATGGAATCCTGGAATGCATTAAGAAGAGTATTGCCAGCAGGTCAAGGCAGGTGATCCTGCCTCTCTACTCAGCCCTCATGAGGCTACATCTGGAGTACTGGAGTCCAGTTCTGGGCTCCTCAGTACAAGAGGCACATGGAGCTCCTGGAGCAGATCCAGCAGAGGACAGTGAAGATGATTAAGGGAGTGGAGCACGTCACTTACGAGGAAAGGCTGAGGGAGTTACTCCTGTTCAGTCTTGAAGAGAAGACTGAGAGGAGACATCATTAATGTATTGAAGTCTCTAAAGGGCGAGTGACAAGATGAAGCCAGGCTCTTCTCAGTGGTGCAAACCAATAAAACGAGGCAGTGGGCAAAAACTCATGCACAGGAATTTCCAACTGAATATGAGGAAGAACTTCTTTACTGTGCATGTGACTGTACACTGGAACAAACTGCCCAGAGAGGTTCTGGTGTCTCCCTCACTGGAGATATTCAAGAACCATCTGGATGCAATCCTGTGCCATGTGTTCTAGGTTGACCCTACTTGAGCAGAGAGGTTGGACCACATGACTCATTGTGCTCCCTTCCAAACTGATCCATTCTGTGATTCTGGGGTTGCAGGCTCTTTCCACATATCACAAACATATTTCCCAGTCCATAGCAAGTAGAGAGTTGTGGAAAAAAAAATTATATGGGTCACATGTGAGGGACAAGGAGATGGTAATTTCTCAGCACCTGAGCATTTCAAGAAGTGTCTGGATGCAATTGTGAGCCATGTGCTCTAGGGTGGCCCTGCTTGAACAGGGAGGTTGGACCAGATGATCCACTGTAGTGCCTTCTAGCTTAGCTGTTTCTGTGATTCTGTGACCTGATCTAGTGGTGGCTATAGTCATGCTTAGAGTTGGTGTTTGGCCTAGGCGACCTCAAGAGATCTCTGAGTAGCGTGTCTGTGTTTCTGTGATACCTATTCCCTACCACAAAGGGATGTTGCATTTGTTGAAAAGCACATATGTTATGGACAAGAATTGAGTATAAATACAGCAGGCATTTCTTTAAAAGCTTATCCCAAAATCTCTGTGGATCTAATAGTATTGATAAGATGCAATTGACAATATTCATTAAAAAAAAACCCAACACCAAAACAGTAGAATTGGTAACTTTCATACTAAATAGGAACACAAGCACTTGCCAGAGGGAATGGTTGTAAAGGCTAAGTGTGTTAATACACAGTATGAACTACAGGGAACCAATCTCAACCTAACTCTGTTATTTTTTCCAGAAATCTGTGCAGTGGTCTCTGCCTTACATTGTGTTTGGAGCAACTGGTCTGTTGTCTGGGTTCTTAAGCTTATTATTGCCAGAGACCTTAAACAGCCCTTTGCTAGAAACTATTTCGGACCTGCAGGTATGCTCATACTGGAGGCTGGGTGATGAAGCCATGTCTTTGCAAGCCCTAGATGGCTCACAGGTATATTAATTTTTTTCCTAGTACTTTTCTGTTCTGTTTATTTCAGCTGTCAGCTTGAATGTGCCACTCTAAATAGATTAGGATAGTGATTCCTGGCCAGTGGAGGATAGGCCCCAAGGAGATAGAAAAGATAGTTCAGTAACCTTACCATCACATCTGAATTGTTGTCTGGAAATGCAGGCTGAAACATAGCTGGGTTAAGTCATCCCTTTGAGGCCAAAAGCTTACAGTATTTCCCTTTGGGATAAAGTGATGTCTGTGCCTCTCAAATTGCTGCAGCAATCTATCTTAGAGTGCTTCATCCAAAGCTGGCCACTGAAGCTTGAGAAGCCTTAGATGTTAACAAGACCAGAAGCCTGTTTGTGAAGGGCTGTTCTCAAAGGCAGCACACTGTACTTCTGACCTGCCCAAGCTGTTCTGCAATGCCAGTTGTTAGCTCTGTCCCAGAGAGGTTTTAAATGGGTTAAAGCTAGACTAACCTCTGAGATTTGTCCCATGTTGACTCTGGGAAATGAGGTTCATTGAAAATGTTGGAATTACAAAACTCCCAGGCATAAGCATAAATCAGTGTGGCAGCAGGATGTTTTTCAGTGAGGTTTCTTGGAATGTTTTTCATATCACTTTATAATTTATTTTGCTAAACTCCTGTACATCTCTTGACATGTCTGCATCTTCCAGTCATGTGGAGGTTTTAATGTGGCTGCTCTACTGTGAGTGAAGTGAATGGTTGGAAAGAAGTAGCTAGTGAGCTGAAAGTGTGTTTGAATTTGGGTAAGGTAAGGTTTTAATGTTTAACTCCTGGTCCCAAAATTTTAAGTCAATGGATTACTAAAAATAGAATAATTGGTCAGAAGACTTGAAGGAAAACTCATAACAAAAAATGTTGGTTGCCCCATTATGCTGAGATGAGATAGAGTCTTTTAACACCTTTTAATTTGATTTGATTAGGTTTTGGTCAAGCACTCTGAGGTTCACAGGTAGTCATCTGTATTTTCACAGAAATGAGGAGGAAGAGTAACACATATTGCTAGAGTGAGAACAGTTGCTTCCTTTCAAAGGCTTCAGCATGTTGCCTTGTTTACCAATTTTAGCTGTAATAGTTCTTGGCAGGACAACACAGTTTAGGGACAAAAGCACCCTTCAAGAAAGCTTGAAAGAGGCTGCCCTGCAACAGTTAATTTTATACTTTAGCTTCTTTTACCTGTATATTTTATAAACATTTTCAACCATGCTGGATAATGTGTTATGGCACCACATTCTTGCTGACTACACAAATCTATCATTTACATTGACATCGGCTGTTATTTTGGTAATTACATCATTATTACATCTTAATTGTGCAGATGGCTTATCAATAAAAGCAATTCTAGCAAACAGTGCAGGTGTTACAACTTAGAGTGGGGGGTGGAGGGGAAGTCACATTTTTATCTTCTTTTTTAACCAGCTAAGGTCAGTATTTGCTCTCTGAGGTGACAAGTGTTGTCTATCAATGTTCACACAACCAGGTTCACTTATGTCAACCAGTCATCTCAGGTTTAAATCTTCCTTGCTTGTGCTTCTGTAGGCTTCTTTAAAATCCCAACCTTAAGAGGACCCAGAGAAGGAAAAAATAAAGAAATAGAAAATGTTCTTCAGGAACACTTCACACAGATGGATTAAAATACTGAATCCAAATGCAAAAGTCATTGGCCTGAACTAATCCTGTAACTTTAGTGAAGTTATATCTGGAATGTCTGTGACACATTAGGGATTTATTTTAAAGCTCACAAAGAAAGTGCTGATAAAATGGAAAGCTGTTAAACATTAACCCTGTTTGACAAGGCCATGGAGAGGTCTTATGAAGCTGCTGTGAGAAAGATTTAGAATTTATTTGGCATACCCTGAATTCCCCCTGTGGAATCCATTGTCCTTTTGTACCACTTTCAAGATAACATGAGTTCTGATTGCCCAGAATGGAGGTTTTGTCCCTGTTAACATACATGGATGTGATATTCAAGTTGGACAGCATCCAGTGATAGCCTGACTTTCCTCAAATAATTTTAGAAATCTAGAAAAAAAGCATAACATGATTCCCTTTATATCTTCTGACAGGTCTTAGTGCTCAAACTGTTTGAAATTCCTTTGCAGTTAACGCACATTGCTGTAGCAAAACTCCTCTGAAGACAGATCTGAAGCCACAGATTTTGCTTGCATGGTACTGTCAGTCAGGAACACGATTTCCATTTCTCTCTCTTTCACCCTTTCTCTCACCCTTCTTAGCATATCACTAGGCAGGCAGAAGTCTTAGGATGAATGCAAGCATAGTGGGGAAAAAATCCTAAATAATCAAACTAGACAGAGTTAATACTAGCAGGAGAATCTTTTTAACTGGAATAATTTGTGTCAATTGCATGGAAAAATGCTACACTGGCCAAATAAAAATCAATTAGCTGTAATAGCTGACTTGAGTTTGGGTATGTCATATAAATTGCTTTGTGGAAAGGACTCTGGCTGGAGTAGGTATGCCCATAATATGGATTTTACCTTCTGAACATATGACCTGGTAAGGGTTTTTTCCTTTGCCATAACGTTTTTAGTTAGTATTGCAGGAGAATCTTTTAAATTCAACTTGCATAGTAAAATGTCCATGCTACACGTGGAGAAGTATTCATTCTGGATGGAGAAGCTTTTACTTAATCAAGTTATCTGTGTGTTCTGAGCTGTGGTGAGCTACTGTGTTTGTAGGAGCTCACCACAGAGCAGGGGTCTTAAACTCAAATTAGGAAAGTTGAGTATATTATCACTTCAGAACCATCCTCAGTCTCTTTCCTGCATGTGTTCTCCAGTGTACTGGTAGAGCAGAGAAAGTCCATCCACTGGGACTCTTTTGAAGATATTTTGAAGGACCAAGGACATAAAGAAATCTTAATCCACATAATGTCTTTTGCAGTTTTAATACAGTGATTTGACCTGCCTCTTCTTACAGTTTCTCTGGCAACATTCCACAGAGGTATAATAGTTGGTGCTTATGTATTTTGATACTGATTTAGTGGGTTCTGTGCTAACTATGACTTCATTTTTGTTTCTAGTCTGGAGACAAAGACAGTTCTACAGGGAGTGGAAGTGAAGATGAGGAGTTTTATGATGCTGATGAAGAGACTCATATGATCAAGTAATGAGAAGAAGAAACGCTGGCCAATTTTATGCCTTCTCTCACTTGTCCAGTCAGTCCAGCTGTATGACAAGTCTTGGGGACCTTGCTTGTCAGGGAATGTAATTGGGCAAGTGCCTGTGTTTTTCCTGACTAGGAGAGAGATTTGAGTACTATTCAGAGTAATTACACCACTGATGCTCTCTGTATGAGACAGCCCTTCAAATTCTTGTGGTTCAGAATGACAGTGCATGGACTGCACTTGAAGCCAGGTGAGACAGCAAGAGTGGAATAATGTATTTCTGAAGCTTAGGAAATTATCTAGGCTCAAACAGATTTGGACAGATCATCAATGCATATGTTGACATTTTATTTTCAAGGTGATGGATTTTGATTCAGTATCAATTGATAAACTTGAAAACAACCACTCTTTTATTCCATGGGATGAAAGTGGTCACAGAATGTGCTGTACACTACTTCAATGGGAACAAATTCCTGAAAATGTATGTTAAAGTGGCTTCTGTGTGTTCAGCAGAGGAGAGCCAACTATGAGCATAAGGTTTGTCTCTCTGTACACTTGTATAGAGTTACAGAGTTAGTCATGAGCTGGGCATTTACTTAGTGATAATGGAAGGCTGGGAGGAAGGACTACACAAAAGAGCAACCATAAAGCTTGCAAACGTAAGGGATATTACTGATTTACTTTTTTTTCCCCTTTTCATACACCAAGCTTTTTCCTGGGCTGTCTTGTGCATATGTTTGCCACATGTTCCCCACATCTCAGCACTGCTGTTTATAGCTTTGCCTACTTTTACCTTGTCCTCACTTTGTCATAAATATTGAAACTCAGCAACTTCTCTGTGGAGTGAAAAAAATATCTGATGGGTATAATTTCATGGGTGTGACATAGGTGAGGTATTTATCACACACTGTGTGTGTGAGGTGTGTAAGAATATATAGCTCAGTTTTGCGGACCTATGTGTGTCTTTATTTCTGGAAGAGACTTAACTCTGAAGTGGTAAGAGGAACTATGGATTGTTATTACATTTGGGGCATTATTTCCAGGAAGCTGCTAGTGTTTATTTAAAAATCTTGTGTAGATGAAGTTCTCATAAAAAAAGAAAGGGAGGGCAAACCTCTTTGAGACAGCATTTAGTTACTTGATGTTTTTTATTTACCAAGTGCTTACTCAAGCACTTGGTTACTTGACCTTGTTGAGGAAGACAGTTTCACTTTTCTGTTCATCCTGAACTTTCTGTAAGTGCTTCATTAGAGGGATGTGGAATCTTGAAATACGAAGTATGAACATATGAAATGTCCAACTATAAAAAAGAGGCATTACAAAGATTCAGTTTTCTTGATTATTTTATCTTTATTAAGACTGATTTCCATAAAATGTTTGTTGGTCTTCCTGCTTGGAGTTCCTAGCGAAGTGCCACACAACGGCAGCAAATATATTTCAGGCTCACTAGCCATTTTTGCAGATCTTAGGTTTTAAAAAGCTGGATTTAAAAAAAATAGCTGACTATTTCCTGGTTAAACTGGGAAGCTCTTTTACTCTGCAAGGAAGTGAAAGTAAACATCTGAAGGTTTCAGCTTGCTGTTTGGACTTTGTTCACTGGGAATCTTAAGACTGAGCAAAGTACAACTGCCCTGGTTGGTGCAGAGAGCAACCCAGAGACTGCAGCACTCCCAGTTGGTCTGAACTTGATTCAGGCATGGACTGTGAGCAAGGTTGGGAACTTCAGTCCTTATGGACAGTGTATCAATATTGTTGTGATTTTTGCCTGTATCATGAGCTTCACCAGAAGAATTCCAGCCTGCAGTCTTGACTTCTCTTATTTTTCAGACTATTGATAGTTGTAGATGTGACAGGGCACTTTTAAACACAGCTGGGTAGTCCTTCTGCCTTATTTGGCCCTTTTGTATGTAAAAACAGTAAATAAGGTACTCAGAATACTTGGAAAGGTTGAATCTATTAAAATGCTTTTTAATTTTGTATTCACATCTTAATTTATGGACAGCTGGGAAAATTACTTTGTTGTTGTTGATTGCTTCTAAATAGAAAAAATCTGCTTAGAAGCAATGAGTGCTAAGCCTGGCAGTATTAACATGCTGCCAAGACCTAATAATACTTTTTAGGTGTTTGCTGCCTCTCCTTCTTTGGGTGTTAGGTAGAGTAAGTCACCTGAGATGCAGCCAGGAACTGCTAGCCTTGGTTCAGGTGCAGAAGATCATTCTTTGTAGGACCTGAGCTGGATTTTGTGAGAGTCCTCAGGTTATAGTTAAGTTTACCTCTCCACTCATGTATCATCAGTATACGTATGCAAAATTGCAAAAACAAGAATGAAGACAAAATTAGTAATTTTTTTCCCCACAGAAATTGATGCTGCACTCTTTTTAAACCTTAAATCTCTCCTGTGTTTGCACCTCTGAAGTTTTAAAGGGCAGCATCTTGTGTCAACCACAGGGACTCTGTATTGTTACTTACCCTGGTCAGTTAATTCCAAAGGTTTATAGAAAAGAATCCTTGCAGGAGGAACTCAGCAATGTAGTGTCAGGCTTCTTAAAATTGCTTGTGTTCTGAAGTTCAATCCATTAAGTACATGAAGTTTCTTTCCAGAGAGGCTTTTTTTTTTTTTTAATAAGAGCTGCCCTTCTGGTACAGAAACTTGCAGGATTCTTTTTTTTGTTCTTACCCGTAATGTGTAATATTTTATAATATTGGGATATTTGTGCTGTATGTAGCATTCCCTGGTGAGAGGTGCAGCATTGTGTTTTGTAGCCTCTGTGGTCAGCATTTTCTGCATCTAGATGGAGGAGCATCATTGGTAAGCAGAAGTTGCTCAGGGAACAATGCTGTTATGGGTCTCGCAACCATCTTACTTTAAAGCCCAAGTCAGAAGGTCAAGTCTCACAACCATCTTACTTTAAAGCCCAAGTCAGAAGGTCAAAGAGAACCTGTGATTTTGTCATTGTGTAAGCAGTCTGAGTAGGCCTAATTAATAAATCTCAGTGTCTGTGCAGTAAGCTTGCCCTGAGGAGCTACTGGAAAGCAGAGGATGATACAGCACTAGATGTATCAGTTTATTACATGTGGTAATGCTAATAGACCTAATATCCTTGCTACAGTTGAGTGAAGTATGACAACCTTATCCCATGTTTTTGCTAGAGTAGCTGTTTTTGCTAAGCAGCTGGCACTGTTCACTTTTGTGCTGTGCAGGCACTTAAATACCTACCCCCAAGAGGGAATTTCTTCCCTGGGTTCCTTTGGCTATCTTTTCTGGTTTGGGTTTTTTTTTTCAGCCAGCTCACTTAGTGGGATTATTCTACAGAGTAGAGAGGCTTTCCCATGGTGCTGACTAATCAGACCTTAATACTGTCAGGTGAGGTATGTTTGGAATTCTGCTTTCTGAGGACCTCATGAGTGATATGTGAATACAGCTAGGAGTGAAGGAGAGTGACAGGTCATGTGAGACAGCATGAGGAGAATTAGCTGGAAAAAGTAAAAAAAAATAAATAGGGTTCAACAGAAACACTTTAGGGCAAGGGTAGGTGAAAACACAAGATAGTAGCTGTTGGGTAGAAATACCCTTCTTACTCCTTGTCTTGACTTCAGGTTTCTTCTTTGAGAGCTACTGTTGGTTTCAGGATGTCCTATGGGGGACATCAGTTTAATAATTTCCTTTTAAATGTCAGCTTTGTTCAGCACTGCTACTTTAGTGATGAAGCATTTCTTTGGATCAATATAAAATGTTGCCTGCCTCAGTCTTTTGGATTTAGCTTTTCTGTGAAATAGCATGGCACCAAAATAGTTAAAATTTGGAAGGCTGTCTTTTGGACAATGCTGTATAACTAGTCATTGCTTCATTAACCAGCTTCCCTTTAGAAGGGTAGGAATATTAGAATTATTGGAGTTTTTGTCACACAACTGCTTGTGAAGTGATACTTCAGCCTTCTAAAAGAATTTTACTACCTGGTTGGTTTTGATAGGCTGAAGAGAATACAATACAGAAGTAATTTGACAAGTTTGTTTTCAGAAGCAGTTTTGAAAAAATAAAGCTAATTCTCGCTACTTAGGGATTGGAAAAGTGCTGTTCAGAGACTCCCTGACACACCAGAAGCTTAGAAGCTCTGTGTTAAAAAAGGGCCATGGATGGCTTGGTGTTCAGGTTGGGATGCTGAGTGGAGAAAGTGTCCACTCCAGAGAAACCTAATTAGCATGGAGCAGATTGTAGCTTGTTTCTACCTTTGTTACAGGCAGGGCTTTAAGGATTGCAGCCACATGTTCATTTGCTCCCAGTGTGCAATCCATGCTAGAGTTTCCAGACTGTGTGGATGTACTGAGGTTAGTAGACTATCATTTACAGAACCATAGGGAATGCAGTTGAGCCATACATTTTCCAGCCTATTTCACCTAAGCATATAAAAGCAGTTCACCAGAGAATGTTTGTTGTACTGAGGAAAAGGGGTAATTGAGGAACATACTTTTCCTAGAGTGTGTTAGTGGAAACATTTGAGCTAAAACTCTTGTCTTCTGCATGATCACCGAATGCAGATTTGGTTAGTATTATTTTGTTCTAGCCGAAGGTTGGTGTGCAATATATCCCTTTTCCCAGCCTGTTAGGGTTTCTTTGATCATCCTCTTTGACACAGCTGAATCTGTGCATGCAAACTATGAGCCTTGCAGTAAATATGTCAGAAAAGCCCAAGAGCAGTGCTGTCATTTGAGGGTGGAAGTTAGTCTGGCCTGACACAATGCTGTGCCAGAAATGTCTATCGTCAACTGTTTACCAAATAGGAGACTTAGGGTATAGCTGTATTTTGAGCCTCATTGATTATATCTTACTACAAGATGTGTTATGTGGAAGAAAGAGACCTACATAAGAAAACATCTGTGGCAGATCTAAATGTAGAATTGGAGCATGAGCAAACTCATACACAATTTTTCCATGCTATGTATTTCTAATACCTTGTCCACTCTGTTGTAGCCTTCAGACTTTGCTGGTGCTTCATTTAAGTCCAGTA